TTATGGAACTCCCTTCCACAAACAGTGGTTTCAGCTGAGAGTATGGAATAATTCGAGAGCTGTCTAGATATTTTTCTCAGAGAGCAACATATACAGAGGTATCGGTAATCTTAAATCACTCACACACACACGTTGAACTCGATGGACCTGTGTCTTTATTCAACCTTACCTACTATGTAGAGCAACTGGAATACCTGTATGTTCCTTGAAGATGTTTCGCTGATCATCCAACTATCTTTCTCAATGCAGAATTAATTGGAAAAGCTAGCGGGATGACAAGTGAAACGTCTTCAAGAAAAATGCAGTAAGTCCAGTTGCTTTGATTTTTTTTCAACGTATATGCAGTACTTCTATTCATTTCTCACCTTTGTGCATGCCAAACAATGCGTCTCATTAACTGTAACTTGCAGAAAATTATTTTGATGTATGCAAACATTTGTCTGTTCTATAGGCAATCTAGGAGAACAAGAGTATGGTTGTCCTTGGAAATATACCTCAGAAAACATGCTTGTCAATTATGTTTTTATTTGTAGTAATTTATTTAGGTGATATCAACTGTGCCTTGGTTTTACATTGTGTATTTCTGGTAAATCTTGTCACAGGGAGAAACTCATTCATCAAGATGGGCTGGATGTTGGAGTGCTGGGACAGATGCATGCAGAGACAACACATGAAACAACCCATATACCATGTGCCATGGGGGGTACAAGACTTACATGGATGAAAAGAAACTGATGGATCACTGAATAAGAAAGATACAAAACCTGGGAGGAGGGAATTTTTAGTCCATTGCCGTCAGTAACTATTTGCCTTATAATCTATGCTTTCTTGATTTGCATGCTTGTGAGTCTATTCTTGATGTTTTCCCCAGTGAGGTTAATATCCACCCTGATAATTCCACGAATAAAATAGATCAGCGCCAAGTAGAAACCTCCTCCAGCACCAAAAGGTTTCTAGCAATCCAGGCAGACTGCCCCGTAACAGACAAGGGATGTCACTGCATAAAACCTAAAAAAACAAAAACACCAGGCGCCTTTCCTGGTGCAAATAATCCTTTTTTTTGTACAAAAAGAAATGGGTCAAAGAATTGTACTCACAAGGGAGGCAGGTTAAAAACCTATTGGACATAAAATCCTAGAAGACATTCCAAGTAAGCCCTCGTTCCCACCTTGGCGTATTTCCGGCCATCCCTAACGCACTACTTTGGGCCGTTTTGTTGCGCGTTTCCATTGGGATACAGCCAAGTAGCCTTCAGAAACGCACGTTTGTCACGCTACTTTTTTACCGCGAATCGCGGTAACAAACGCGCGAAACAGACACGCATATGCAATACGCCTAGGTGTGAACGAGACCTAAGGAAATAAAAGGAGCAGTCAGAAGGCAGCCCAAAAACTCTGCTTGAACCAGCAGGAGCAAGCCAACACAGCTGAATGCGTTTTCGGGGATAACCCCCTTCTTCAGAGCTTTTTTGGACTGCCTTCCGACTGCTCCTTTTTATTTCCCTACTTGGAATGTCTTCTAGGATTTTATGTCCAATAGATTTTTAACCTGCCTCCCTTGTGAGTACAATTCATTTACACATTTCTTTTTGTACAATAAAAGGATTATTTGCACCAGGAAAGGAGCCTGGTGTTTTTGTTTTCTAATATCCACCCTGACCTGTGTTCACTTTAAACCAGGGGTAGCAAACCTCCGGCCCTCCAGCTGTGGTGGAACTACAAATCCCATGAAGCATTGCAAGATTCTCACAGCCACGACTCCCGAAGAGAGATGCATCATGCAGGGGCGTCCCGAGGCTGGGTGACACCCGGAGCGGTAACCGAGTGTCACCCCGAAAAAAATAGGACGATTTGAGACAATGTCGGGCTACTACTACACACTGCTCTACTAATGTCTCTCTGCAGTTGAAGCCAACTATAAACTGCTTATGCAGTAGTATGGTACGCTCTAGACCAGGGATGGCCAAACTCTGGCCCTCCAGCTGTGATGAAACTACAAATCCCATAATGCATCTCTCTCCGGGAGTCATGCCTGCGGCTGTGAGAATCTTGCAATGCCTCATGGGATCGTTGGAGGGGTACCCATGCTCTAGACTTTCTAAATTCACCTAAAATTTGCCTAATTGACAGCTAGCTCTGCATTTCTAAGGGCCGCGCCAAACCCACCTTTAGGGGCATACTAATGCTGAACTCGCTCAAGAGAAACAGAGACTTTCAGCTAAGTATGTTAAAATACTTGCAATATAAACAGCTAAAGTGTAACTATGAGCAGAAACAGGGACCCGGCCTGCGGAACGGTCTGGTATGGTGCGGCTTCAATAACGAGATATGAAACCCCGGGTGGATGCTGAGGGATGCAGGCAACTGTAGTTTGACAGCAACATTGTTGACCGTGAAAGGCCCAAGGTAGTGGGCACCCAGTTTTTTGGTAGGGCAGAATAGCTGGAGGTGTTGCGTGGAGAGCCACGCCTTGTCCAATTCTTTATACACTGGGGTGTCTTTGCGCCTGCAGTCTGCGTGCATCTTTTGTCGTCGTTGAGTAACCTGAAATTGTTGCACCAGGGTACGCAGTAGCCCTTGGATGTGATGAAGTTGCTGGGCTAAGTCAGGTACTGGATTGTCAGAGGGGAGGTCCGGGAGGTTCAATGGGTGGTAGCCATAATTGGCATAGAAGGGAGATAGCCCCGTGGAAGTGTGTTGTTGGTTATTGTAGGCGTACTCCGCCAGAGGGAGATGTTCCACCCAATTGTCCTGTAAATGGGAAAAATAACATCGGCAGAACTGGGTCCAGAAGCAAGAGGTGCACTAGAAGCCTTCATCCCTGGGAACTAATGGAATGGGAGGAAACGGGAAGGTGTGCACGGAGATCCTCCCCTAGTACCACCTACACTAAAAGGTAATAATGACCGCGCGCACACACTGCACACCTGCCGCCAGGAGTTCTGCCAACCGGAAGCAGACCTTGTGCCCTGTACCGTACCTGACGACCCCAAGGTAAGGTGGTACCTCTGGTTCTCTGACATAACACTTCCCTACTGTTGGACCATTGGCATTAGAGAACAGCAGGGCTGGCCATGTGTAGACTGTCAAAAGGTGACCTTCAGGCAGAGCCAGCCAGTCAGTAGTACTGCCTGAAGAAGGTTTCTACCCTTTGACTATGGCCAAGTGTGCAAACCTTGGCAATTCTATACGGTCAGAAAGTGAAGGGAGACACCAGTATTAGACTTTTGATTATAGAATAGGTGACAGGGTGGCATGGTATGTTATGTTTAAAATAAGTTTGTCAATGATCCGTGTTTCTATTCAAATTTGTACTTTCACATACATATAACACAATAACAAATATGTAATGTTTTAAAGACTAGACTTATATTGCATTTTAAGTTAATTTGTTCTTCAAATGTAAAGCAATGTATCCATTGCGGGTCGATGCATCCATAGAAGATAATGCCATTTGACCCGAGGAGGCAGAAAGGAGAAGCTGAATTAACTAATCTCAATAATATCAGAGCACAATATAATTGTTCGATGTTTGGAAATGGCAAAACCTTCTATTGTGTATATGAATTTAAATACAAACAGATCTAAAAAAGAAGCCAAAAAACTAAAACCTGACATTTGAAACCATGTGTGTATATATATACACACACACACAATTGAAAAAGAAGACCTTCGTAGAAAAGCACCCTAAGTTTAAGTGGTTGCCATTTATATATGCATAAAAAGAAACAAGATGTACAAAGACTTTCATTAGAAATTGTTTTTTTTTAAAATTCTAATAATAAGTGGTATAGTATATTGTAGTGCCACTATCCTTTCTTTTGTTGAATACCGACCAGAGGCAAGCTGGCCTGGCACTCGTAGGGTGGGATGAATGTGGACTGACCTGGAGCAGCACTGCTCTCTTGAAGACACCCAAGAAACAAAAGGGCTTTGAGGTCTCAGCAAAGTCCCAGACTGGGACAAAATCTGTTGTCATTGTATGCAGACACTACTACAGCCACAAACTATGGGAAGATTACGGCATCCCCTAAGGGTAGCAGCCCAATGTGCATTATACTAGGCCAGCACGTAATTTCAAGATTCGGCACAGGCAATGACATGGCACAAGTGATTAAAAGCAAAAATCACTTCTCCTTATACATATACACAGTATATGTTGCACAAACTAGTGCCTGTACCGCTCCCCAATGATTAATCCAGATGGAACGGTATACAATTGAGTCTGATATTTTAAACTTACTATGTTAAGAATAGCTTAAAAGATGATATTGGGAACTGAAAGTTTGCACAATTGAAATGTAGGCTGAATATTACGTGTAAATGTTGGATTATATTGACCTTGAAAGGAATAAACTAGGGGATGCTCAGACAGGGAGAGGGTGGGAGTAGTGCTGTAATGCACACCAAGGCAACGTTTTCCAGGTTTGAATGTGTGTATTTTATAGCACACAAGATATATTTGCTAAAATAAAAAATGAATCAAAATGTTAGAGAGGATATAATCATTTGCCCATCTGACATACATTCCATTAGACTCAGAACAAATTAGAAAAAACTACCAGGAAGATATACATTTCATCCAGTCACATGCTTTATTAGATAAATTAGAAAAAGAAAAAAAAATTCACAGATTGTCTCTCAGGGTTGAGATCCTGAATTGCCATATAAAGAACAATTCTGTTGCAGCATGGATTTCTTGGCAATGCATGCACTTCTGAAGAACTGTGGGGGCTGTTATGTGAAAACTGGAATGAAGGTTTCATAACTGTGTTGCCCTTTGATATTGCCCTTAATGTGGGGAAGGCCCTTTGTGCCTTCCCCACATTAAGCACTGTATATATATAAGCAGATTAGAAAATATTCTATTTAACATTACACTGGCAAAAAAACAAAATACAATAATTGAGATGGACAGTAAAAACCCATGAGTTAGTATACACTAGATCACCATCCTGTCACATTATTAATATCTGGTAGGTTTATTTTAAGGAGCATCTACATTAAGTCTGTTAAAAATAAAGTAAAATGGAATGTAAGAGTTCTACCTTAAATTCCTATGCACATTGGTCCCTCCTACCTGTAGGATAAGCTTTACCCAAAAAGGAAAAAAAGTGAGAAAGAAGAAGCGCTCATCTACATATTTAGAAAAAAATAATAATATATGGATGAGAGAAGACTAGCTTCTGTCTAGAACATATTAGGGACCCGACATACTCAAATCTCCTTGTAACAGTTAAATATCTGAAGCAGTCCTGCCCTTGTTCATAACAAAAAAGGAGGAGGCGTGATGTGTTCTTTGGTCCTTGACAATATATAAAAAAACCACCACAGTAAAATTAACACACTGTTCCAAAATATAAAAAAAGAGGTTTTCTTCTACATATAAAAAAAGGTCTGCCAAGTATTTTGTAAAGTTACACAAAATTATACTCGACTGCCTTGCAAAGCCAAGACTAAGAATGTTACTACCGCTAAATTGTAATTCACAAAATGTGCATGCTCATCTCTTAATAGCATGCATGGCTATCTGCATAGTAGACACCACCGGTTCCACTCTGACCCTGAGGGATCATTGCAGCATTAATGAAACAAGCCAGCAGAAAAACTTCCATGAGGTCAGCAAGGTGTATGCCGACACCTCTAGATAACCACTAATACGCCAATTTCTACTGCCTGAGGTCATCAAGATAAGGCAAAAATCATCTGATCTCTTTGGGTACCTTGAGTGGACATCCCCAAAAGGATTAGCTACATTGGAGAGGAGCATGTTTTTAGCTCCACAAAACACTTTTGAGGTTAGAGAATTCACTATTTTTCTAGGCTTCACAAAAATAGGTATGGCTAATACTATCTCCCCTGAGAACTGTAAGGCACTTACTGGGTCATAAGCATACTTCTATACAAAATGGCAGTATTATATACTTGTATCATTTGAACCTTTTTGCGTTACTACAAAAAAAAACAACAAAAAAAACACACCTCTTCAACAGCAAATACAAAAAGTCTACATTTTTGGGAGGGGGATAAGGCACTGGGGAGGAAGGCAGCTTGGTCTGATAAGGAATGCAGATTATATTGTGCACCCATCTAAAAGTCCTGTTCATGAATATAATTGTACGGTTGCTGTTCATTTTGATCCTGATCCGGTAGGTCATCAGGATTGCCTTTAGGGCAATATTTAGGATCGTAGATCTGCCGCCCCAAACCAAAAATCTGGCCACTTTGATTGGCTCCTTGGTTAGATCCCATCTGCAGTGACATGGTAGAGTTGTCACACTTCTCAGTACCCGTTTTGGTATCATAGATGTGTCTTCGTGTTCCTGGAGCTGTCATACCCACCTGGAACAATATTACAGATTAATGTGTACGTAATCAAAAATGGTTAGCACATAAAATGTAAATGTTTTATTAGGGAGATATACCATTTCCGATGCTATACAGCTGTACAAATATAAATTCAAAAGGAATAGAGGACAGGTATATAGGTGTTGACTAAAACGTGCATATTCTTGTTTTACATGGCACTGGAGGGATAGATAGATATAGATAGAGAGAGAGATAGATTCCCATTTTCTATAATAAATCTAGGTCTCAGTAACATTTGCACCATTTAGAATATAGCCAATGTTAAATTCACTAGCCACGGTGCCTTTGAAACATTTTATTCTTGAAAATTGTCATTTTATCAGTGCTTCACCACTGGTTCCCAGTGAAGACCGGTTACATTTAAGCCTGTTCTAAATCCATATTTGCTTAAAAGAATATAGCACACAATCTACCCAGTTAGGTCTTCTTTCTATAAATGTTTCCCCAAGTATGCATGAAAGATAGCCATCTCTTTGCTTTGAGTTGCAACAAACTTTACATTCTTTATGGTTACGCCTCATTTCTTAAGGACAAACTTCTGAGTGACCTACACAGTTATACACAGCAAAGTCTGAAGCCGCTTCGGTTATGAACTTTCGCTCACCTGGCTGGCTCCTTTGTTGGTTCCCATTTGAAGACTTATAGTGGACTGATCCATAGGTGGCAAGATATTATGCTTTGGGTCATAGAGATGCCTTCTTGTCCCATATGCAGTCATGCCAGACTGGCTAGCACATTTATTTGTCCCCATCTACAAGAAAAGCACAGGAACCAAGTTACGAAGAAGAAATCTGTTGGATATAATAAAACGTCTCAGTTAGTGCTCTCCTTGAAATATACACCATTGCCAAAAATTTGGATTCAGGTGTTCCGTGAAATTTCCTTGCTACTAAATATTCCACGATCAACTGTTTGTTATAACAAAGTGGAAGCAACTAGGAACAAAAGCAACTCAGCCAGGAAGTTGTAGGCCACGTAACATGACAGAGTGGGGTCAGAAGTCGCCAACTGTCTGCAGAGTCAATAGCTACAGACCTCCAAACTTCATGTGACCTTCAGATTGGCACAACAACAGTGCGTAGAGAACTTCATGGAATGGGTTTCCATGGCCGAGCAGCTGCATCCAAGCCTTACATTACCAAGTTCAATGCAAAGCGTCGGATGCAGTGGTGTAAAGCACGCCGCCACTGCACTCTAGAGAAGTGAAGACGTGTTCTCTGGAGTGACGAATCACGCTTCTCTGTCTGGCAATCCGATGGACGTGCTTCGGTTTGGCGGTTGCCAGGAGAACGGTACTTGCCTGACTGCATTGTGCCAAGTGTAAAGTTTGGTGGAGGGGGGGATTATGGTGTGGGGTTGTTTTTCAAGGGTTGGGCTTGGCCCCTTAGTTCCAGTGAAGGGAACTCTTAAGGCATCAGCATACCAAGACATTTTGGACAATTTCATGCTCCCAACTTTGTGGGAACAGTTTGGGGATGGCCACTTGCTGTTCCAACATGACTGCGCACCAGTGCACAAAGCAAGGTCCATAAAGACATGGATGAGTGAGTTTGGGGTGGAGGAACTTGACTGGCCTGCACAGAGTCCTGACTGCAACCCGATAGAACACCTTTGGGATGAATTAGAGCGGAGACTGCAAGCCCGGCCTTCTCGTCCAACATTAGTACCTGACCACACAAATGCCCTTCAGGAAGAATGGTCAAACATTCCCATAGACACACTCCTAAACCTTGTGGACAGCCTTCCCAGAAGAGTTGAAGCTGTTAAGACTGGAAACCCATCCATGTGTTCTCTTCACCGATATTAATTACAAAAAATTCCTTCTCTAAATAAACATAGCCAATCATTCTTACCTGCAGCCCTATAACACACTGCCCAGCCTTTTTTACATTATCATCAAAATTTCTGTGTTGCTTCTCAGCATATTTCACCCCAATATCCACATCACTATGAAGACCTCTGGTCTTTGCCTGAAATAGAAGATTAAAAATTGAAAACAGTTTTAAAAAAGGAGATGAAGTAAATAATTTTTACAAATACTAATTAGAAGCATGCAACATGTCCTTTCACCCTGGTTTGGAAAGGAGCAAAATAATCAGTTTATGATATTGGATGATCCTGCTGCTTCTATGGTCCAGCTCACAGGGGTAGAATTACTGTAAGGGCGAGTGTACAATGCATTTGAAATCAGTTACAGTCCACCTGAAAAACTTTATCAAATTTCCTGAGGGAAACAGGAAGATCTGTTTTGGACTCACTAGATCCTGCTTGTTCATTTCCCCTCTTATTAAGCTGTGGACAGTTCCCAGGGAACATGAACAGTAGCGCTATTGATAAGCGAAAAACAATGAAATCTGCAAACATGTTAAAACAAACGTTCTAGAGGAAACTAAAAAAAAAAAATAAAATTAAAAAATAATACGCTTTCATTGAATATTAAAAGTGACATTAAAGTCAAAAATGTTTTTCCCCCCAATGTTAATGTCAGCACTTACCTTAAATGATGTTTCATCATTTAAGGTAGGGGTTAGGGCTTTTCCCCATAGTTCTCCCGTTACCCTTAGTTCTCCTAAGGGTAACGGGAGGACACAAACTAGTGTCCTCCCGTCACCCTAAGCTCAGTATACCGCGAGCTGTATACTGAGACCCTGCAGCTGAAACGGATCCTGACAATTATGTCTGGATCCGCCCATGAGTGACAGCTGGCTCTGCCTATCTAGAGTAGGGCTGCAACAACTAATCGACATAATCGATTATTGAAAAAGTTGTCAACTTTTTCAATAATCGATTAATCGGCTTCCGATCAGTTGGCCCTGTACACAGCTCCACACAGGCTGCGCGCTGCACCTCCTCCCCACCTCACACTCGTCGCTGCCAGACCCGCCCGCCCGCATCCACGCTCTTCACGCCGCACCTCCTCCCCGCCTCACACTCACCGCCCGCCCACATCCACGATTGGCACAGGGACGCGGGGAGATGTAGTAAGGAGGAGCAGGTGTGGGGGGATGACAGCCGCTGATAGACAGGTCCGATCTCAGAAGCAAGTTGCAGAAGACTGCTAAGGTAAGCCTGCACTTTCCCACACTATAATGTATTGCTGGGATTTGTATTCCTCTATAGCTGATGGTACATTGCGCTGTATATTATACCATCAGCTATAGAGGACTGCAAATCCCAGCAATACATTATACACTGTATGTATAATGTATTGCTGGGATTTGTTGTGTTCCTATATAGCTGGTGATATTCTGCATTGCGCTGTATAGAGGACTACAAATCCCAGCAATAATACATTATACAGCGCAATGCGGAATACCACCAGCTAAAGAGAACTACAAAAACCAGCAACAGTACATTATACAGCGCAATGCAGAATACCGCCAGCTATAAGGTACTATTGCTGGGATTTGTTGTAGTCCTCTATAGCTGGTGGTATTCTGCATTGTGCTGTATAATGTACTATTGCTGGTATTTGTAGTCCTCTATAGCCGGTGCCATTCTGCATTCATTGCTTTATAATTTTACACTTTCCTTTTCACTATAATTGCACACCACACTATTTTTTTTCTTTTTTACTTCCACCGCTCCAAGCTTGCTCCTGTGATGGAGTGCAATCTCAATACAAACTAGTAGTCCATCACTGGAGCCATTTTTTAAAATTTGTTTTATTGTTTATCCGATTAATCGAACTTAATAAATCGGCTAACTAATCGATTTTGAAAATAATCGTTAGCTGCAGCTCTAATCTAGAGGCAGAGCCAGCTGTACCCGCCCATTCCGCCAGTCAGCGCTTCATATTTTCCCCCATATGAAAACTGCAGATAATATAAACACAAACCTGCCACTACACAAAAATGCCTACTTGAGATGTACATTGGCATGTATATGATCTTTTTATAGCACTCCTACATTATCTGACACATTACAACATTGGATAATGTGAACAACCTGACACAAAAAATAAATGAAAAAAAACTTTGGAAATGAATGAGACAAAAATTTCCAATATACCCTTCCAGCCAGGGCCAGCAAAGAAACTTGCACTTGGGTCATATTGCCATTCTCAAACAGGTCATTTGCTTCAAACAGATCTACAGATTTCATCCCATAACTAGACATGGCTCGGATAAAGTTTGAGAGATTTTCCAGCTGTGAAACAAAGAGAAGATCAATCAGTATTTGGCGCCGATTATTAGTACAAGAAATGCATACATTACCATTTTAAATTCATTCTACATTGACATAATCTGTACATTCTTCAGTGTTGGGATAAAGAACTCTTCATTGCATTTAATATCGCATAACTTTAATCCTATGGTTTTCAAAAAGCATATGATTTCTATTATTCCTCCTATAAATATGAGGTTTTCAGAACCATTTTTGGAATTGCAACAAAGCCTAAAGGAGGTATTTAGATAGCATCAGCAATTTAGACAAGACTTTCACATCAGTCCCTGCCTTCAAGGAGCTTGCAATCTAAGATCCCTAACATACATACATACATACGAGGGCCAAATTAGACAGGAGCCAATTAATCTTTCAGCATGTCTTTGGAGTGTGGGAGGAAACCCACACAAGCACAGGGAGAACATGCAAACTCCTGGCAGATAGTGTCCTGATCGGGATTTGAACCAAGGACACCCAGTGCTGCAAGGCAGAAGGTGTTAACCACTACATGCTTGCATTATTATTAACTTTAAGTCAATGTGAACACATACATTACAAGCACATTGTTGTACACAAAATACTGACTACCATAATCTTCTCTATTTTGATAAAATATAAAACATTTAGTACTTTTATTTTACATAGTTGTTTTTTCTGCTCGAAGCAGCTGTTCTGGCCACATGACCTCTGACACCGCACCGATATCACGCTTTTACATCGTTCAGCTTGAATTTATGGCATCTTCTTACCACATGCCTACCCAGCAGGCTATAGGACATTCAAAATAAGCCTATGCAACTACAAACTTTTTAGTGAAAAAAATTCCATTAATATCAAAATGTGGCTTATTTGAGTGGAGACTGAGGCCCCATTCACACTACGCGACATACCTTTTGCAGCGGATCCACGCGGCCGGGATAGTGCGACTTTTGGGGCGACGTTCCAGCGATGGTAGCGCGACCTTCACCGTCGGACTCCATTAAAAAATAGAAAAATCGTGCAAAATCCGCCGAAAAAAGGGTCCTGCTGGAGCGACGAGCGACATGGAGCTAAAGCAGCTCCTTTGAGTAGCATTGGCCTGCGACCTCTCCCGATATCGCGTGGCAAAAATGCGCGATATCGCAGCGGAAATCGCTTAGTGTGAATGGGGGGCCTTAGCCAGGACTATTGTGCCAATAAAATCAAAGGACATTGATTTCTATGTGTAGTCATGGCTGTAAAAATAAACTAAACACACACACACACACATTACTTCCCACTTACCTGATGCCAGTTTTGCTTGGAAACATTGACTTTTGGAATGGCATTTGAACTTAACTTGTTCATGAGTCTAAGATGGGGAAAAAGAAGAATGTGTTATTAGTAGCATTATGGGAAATTAGCACCAAGACAATTTACTTCCAGATGTGGACTTTGTATGACATCTAGGACTGCAATCACAATTGTGAATTTTTAGGCACCTACCATTTCAATTGAAATCATTGTAATGCATAAACAAACGCTTCAATAAATTTTTTATTGCACGTTAACATGCATTTTCACCAATTTTAATGGAAACACATGCGTGCTATATAGTGCATATAGGTGTGCATCCTGTCATAGTGCCGTTCCACTGCAGGACAGAGTTTTCATCTTCCAATCGCCTAACATGACATCTGGGATCAGATTGGTTGTTGCAGGTAACTGCTAAACTGTTTTTTGCTTTTATCCCCAACCACCCAACCCTTTAAACTTACACTGTTGCTTGTATGGCTGTTCATGTCTAGAGCGTGTGTATAGCTCTTCACATCTCAGTTTGCAGAAAGAGAGTACAGTGCATAATATCAACCAAGTTTCCTTCCCCAAATGGCAATCAGGCTTAACAGCTTTTTTACTGACAACAAAATACGTTTCGCCAACTGTCAATAACTTTGACCTCCCCCTCCATCTCTAAACCGCCCACCTCTGGCAGCTACAAATGGAGAAAGCAATGCCACATAATTGTCACAGGAAGCCCAGAAGTGTCTTTGACATGTGAGCGATAGGTACAGTTCACCTTTTCTGTGCTGCAAGATGTTAGCACTGAATAGGAGAATAACTTGGTCAGCCACAAAGTCTGAATTTGAGTGATCAGCACATCTTTACATTTATGGGTCCGGTAGATGCCCTTAGGCCAGCGGTAGGCAACCTTGGCTCTCCAGCTGGGCTGAAACTACAAATCCCATAAGGCAGTGCAAGCCACAGGCATGACTCCCAGAGGCAGGAGCATGATGGGATTTGTAGTTTCAGCACAGCTGGAGAGCCAAGGTTGCCTAACCTTGCCTTAGGCCGTTTTTTTGGGGGTTTTTTAAGAGCAGCCTCTGATTAATATGAATTTTAATATAACCATAAATACAAATGCTCAGATGAACCACATATTACCTATATGTACATATCAGCAAATATGGGTGCCTGGGAGGGGATGCTCATCCCTGCATATCAGACCACTCTATTTAATTTAAAAGGTATTCTTCCTATAGATGCTGAATCATATAGAGGAGCTCTGCTCCTTAGATTAAAGCAGTCTTGCAGGTTGTTGGAAGTGTTTGGTATCATGACTTAGAGAACCCCTATGTGTCTTTACACAGTGTTGGAAATGGGCATATTACTTGCAAAGATTGAGTTGTTTATGGGCTCCTTAGTCCTGTAGTCAGCCTATCTCCAGCACTTATCACAAACATTTCCAGCTGATAAATCTCTAGGGGAACACACATTTTACCATGTTCACTTGCGAGTCTAGCCATAGAGATGGCGATTAAGATAGCGGGGAGACCTGTCTGAGCAGTCAAGGATCAAAACAGATGTCTTACTGCCCATCAATTTTTGGGAAACATCTGTCTTATGAGAAAAGCAATCATATTACATTTCCTTTAACACTCCCTAACCATCTTCCACTTTCCTAGGGCACATTTACTGACTGTCCTAGACTGGCAGTCCTAGTTAATAACAGCAATATTAATATGAATGAAAAGGGATATTTTTTTTTTTATATAAAGCAGAACCTCAAATACTTACTCACACAAGATGACACCATCCTTTAATCCCTTCTGGAAGTCTGGACCAATGGACATTCCAGTGACCTCTTCCATCCATATTTTAAGCTCAGCCTCCTTTTGAGGATCATATTTCTGAGCCAACTAGAAAAGAAGGGTAGACATTGTTAAAACCTAAAAAGGAACTTTAAAATGTAAGCTTCCACAAAGTTGCAAAATTACACAACAGGCCCACCGAGTTACAGTGCTTGGGTCAGGCAATTAGGAGCTCAGGCACTCAACGCAGCATGGAAGGAGGTAGGGATTTGGTCAAGTGTGCCCTGATGCCCAGAAGTACTACATTTTTATGGCAGCAGTAGGGATGAGTGCAGACAAGTCTAGGCAGCTACTTCTGAACAGACAGCTACCTTCCTTAATATGGACAAAGCATAGGTTTGCTAAAAGAAGCTTTGCTACATTCAACACAGTTGTGAAATGACCCATAAAGTGGAGAAGACTGCAACACTACACCCACACATACAGGTGAGCATGGATAATAGAATTGTGTGTTCAGCAAACATTCCTGAAGCAAAAAAATATATTGTATAGTCTTAAATATAGATGCGGTTGTTTCTTAACCGTGAAGTTTTTGTTCACAGATATGAGCAAAGAGAAAAGACAACCATCCAATATAGAAACAAAAGCCCCCACCCCGACTTATGAAACTTCCTTTCCATCTGTGAGCTCTTTTGGATTGCGATACTCCTCTCTGGGATGGTGAAAGTGAGTAATTAGCCCTTGGCGATATGTGTCAGATTCATACAGGGTGTGGAATCTACTGCAATGTCATTGCACTCATCACAAGACGACTTGATTCCAACCCATTTTCAATGATGAAACCAGCTACTTGATCTTATCAGTACAGGCATGCCAAAAATAGGAAAAGAAGTAGTCATATGAGCTTATACATACAAAAAGGGATGGTAACAGAATGCCAGTAAACACCGGTTTGCAGCGACCGGAGTTCAAGCCCAGATCAAGAACACTTGTAAAAAGAAAAAAAGTATGCAATGATGAAATCCTGGGTTTGTGTCAGGGCTGGGCAAATCCCAGGAGCCAGGTTGCCAATGCTCCTTGAAAAAATATGACATCTAGCACCTAACTTCTGGAGGTTTTCACTAGTTGTCAGTGGAACTGGCTCCTGGATTGGACAGACAGGCTCCTGAACTCAATATTAAATTTGTCCGCCCATCTTCTGTATTAAAGCGGCTGTCCAAAACAACCAATATGGGTAATGATGGTCTCTAAAATGTTTATTGTGCAGGCAGGAAGCTGAGGCAGGATCTGTTTTGTAGCAGTAAGTAACTGCCACTCCTGTAGACACCGGAGCCCAACCAGTTATGGCCAATAAACCATCCAAAATAGTTTTCCTTAGGCAACTAGCAAACTCACACAAAACTAGTATCTATCAGATGTTATCTATCACTCTCTATAGAGTGATGTTATGGTGATCAGATTGACTTACACTGCTTCACAGCAGCACTAGACTTACCACTGCTTCACAGCAGCACTAGAGTGTATTGTGGATGCACACCGGCCTGTCTTGCTCCAACATCCATAGTCATTCACAGAAAAAAGTCCGGTTGCACATGTCACTGAAGACTTTATTTAGGAGCCAATTATTGGGTGAAATATGTTAGAGTGAAAAGGATCCATGGCAGGACAATGTGTACCTGTGTGCTACAATAAATCCTGCAGCGAAGTTTGCGGTGTGCAGCCGGACTCCCCCCCCCCGTGAGTGACTATGGTAATCAGTAAGGATGCACCAAAATTTTGGTCGCAAATGGCACTTTGGCAAAATGCCATCTTTTGACCGAAATAGCGGTTTCTATCGTTTCTAATAGCGGATCCCTGGTTTCTCTCTTGTGCCAGAGGGGACATAGAGCAGCGCTCAGCGTGGAGGAGAGAAATCGTCACAGGAGGCTGAGTGGTCTAGGGTAGGAGAGCGATGTGAGCGGCCGATGTCTCTCGTCACGCACCGCTCAGCCTCCTGTGAAAGATCAGGAGAGCAGCGGTGTGGGGAGGAGACAGCTGTCACAGGAGGTCCAGCCGGCAGTGCGGGGAAGAGTCAGCTGTCAGGGAAGATCGAGCTCTCCTCCCCACACCGCTCACTCAGCCTCCTGTGACAGCGAGTCAGGATGGAGAGCGGGTACAAGCACTCAGCGATCGCTGAGTGTTTGTAAATAACTGAGGACATAGTATGTGTATTGTGTCCCCATTTATGAATGAACGGGAAGTGATCACTTCCTGTTCATTCATGATTGTGGTCATGGTAAACGTGTGTGTGAGTGATATAGATATATATATATATATATTACACACACACCGTATTTTTCGCTCCATAAGACGCACTTTTTTCCCCCCAAAAGGAGGGGGAAAATGTGCCTGCGTCTTATGGAGCGAATCCTGACGCCCGAGACATGCAGTTTCGTATCACTCGTATTAAAACCGAGCAGCGGCGACGATCGAGATCACCATAGAGCAGACGAAGAACGGAGGTTCTTCGTCTGCTCTGTGTGATTACCAAGACCGTGGCGCTGTAATCACAGCGCCACCTGTCTCAGCGGTCACTAACTGCAGCTTCGTAGCGGACCGTAGCTTCTGTCACAGCTTCTATGACAGAAGCTGTGACAGAAGCTACGGTCTGTCAAGTGCTCCATAAGTCACGCCGGACCTCCCTGCGTCCTATGGTCCGGTGCGTCTTATGGACTGCAAAATACGGTATGTATAATAAAAAAAAAAGTTACACATTTTTTTTTCAGTTTCGCTCTGACTTTTTGTTTTCGGTTTTGAAAATGTAATTCCAGTGCACCTCCAGTGATCAGATTGCTATATCATTGGATAAACTTGCAGTTCTGTTCCTTTTTGGTTTTCAAATACTTTGTTACATCTCAGTCACAGTGTGTTGTCACTTTTTTTTCCCTTGACGGAGAAGGACTTGCTTGTACAAACTGATGGAAAGAAGCCTCTGGTCCTGATTTATTGAAGTGTTAAACAATAGTGCAATAAATTGTACCACTCCTTAGTTTAGACATCCAATTCAAATTTCACAGTAAAATTTTTGTTTCAACTTTCTATTTACGTTAAAGCGACATTAAAGTCAAAAATATTTTCCCCTCCCCCAATGTTAATTAAAGAACTTACCTTAAATGATGTTTCTTAATCCGATCTTCTTTTCTGTCCTTTTTAGCCTTCTCTCCAGCGCTGCTGCGGGTCTCCGATCCAGCGTTGACTCCTCTGTCCTTGCTGGCACTTCCTGTCCCACGATGTCTGCATGCGGGTGCACGCGTCCATAGACTTACCTTGTGTCTCTCCTCGTCTCCTGGCCGAAAATGTGAACTGTGCATGCGCCCGCCCGAGAATTTTCACATTTAAGACACAGGTAAGTATTAACGCTTTTCAAAGCGGGCTTTTTTTTTAAACACTTTTTACATATATTTACTGCTTGCTAGCAGTAGATATATGCAAAAAAAACGGAGGCTTTAATTATCCTTTAAGCTCACTGCTTTTTACTTCTCACATTAGTAAAGCAGACCCTTTGTGTGTTACAAGATGAATGCTTACCAAAGAGGTTGATTTGCTCTGCCAATATAGCTTTATGGGATAGCTTTTTTCTGTAGCGATATAGGCCTATACTGAATCTTCTGTGCCCTTAGGGACATGTCAGCCAACAATGAAAGCAGAACTAGACCTACCAATTTAATGGTTTCCCAAAACAGTTACTTTTAAAAATGAGAACTATGAGGCAAGTGATTTTCACTCAACCTCAGTTCGAGCCGACGTGTGACAATGAAACTGTCACACGTCGGCTCAGTAGATCAGGAAGTGAGCGAACACATACAGGCATTTACTCACTTCTCTATCCTGTCATGGCTCTCTGCCGTGACTGGGGAGGGGCTGGATTCCCCCCTCCAATCCTCCAGCGCTGACTGGCGGAACGGACGGGGGAGGGGCGGGTACAGCTGGCTCTGCCTCTAGATAGGCAGAGCCAGCTGTCACTCACGCAGCTGGGCGGATCCAGACATAATTGTCGGGATCCATTTCAGCTGCGGCGTCTCATTATACCGCAAGCTGTAGCTCGCAGTATACTGAGCTTAGGGTGACGGGAGGACGTTAGTTTGTGTCCTCCCGTTACCCTTAGGAGAACTATGGGGAAAAGCCCTAACCCCATAGTTCTCCTTTAATATGTATATCGCCTGGTCACAGTTCTTTCAAGTTAATCTGTCCCGGAAGACATATGAAGACTACCATTGCTGCATTTCTTCTGAACATGCGAGTTGCTTGGCTATATCTGGTATCAATGCTTTTGAGTTACTGACCTGGGACAAGTATGCAAGAAGTGATATCAGAAAAAAAGAACATTTTTCCAGGTCAGTTTTCTTTTAAAGCGGATCAGCGTGATGGTAATGCAATCAGCCTTTTCAGAAGTTTTGCATGAAAAGGTGACAGGTGGAAACTCATATGGTGTCTTGCTATGGATGTTATTCATTCCTACACTTTTTATAAACCTCCCATCTGAGTAACAGTTCAATGATATCAGTTCCAGAAACTTCATTATGTGATGCTCAAAAATCGGAAGCAATAACATAATATTGTGGGTGGAACACACACACGTAATTGGTGGATTGGTAAACTGAGCAGTTAGCTCTTGTTCACACCTAGGCGTATTGCATATGCGCGTCTGTTGCGTGTTTTTTTTACCGCGATGCGCGGTAAAAAAGTCGCGCGACCGTTGCGCGTTTCCGAAGGCTACTTGGCTGTATCCCAATAGAAACGCGCAAACAAAAACGGCCCAAAGTAGTACCTGGACCTTTTCAGGCGTGGGCCGTTTTGTAGCGCGTTAGGGACAGGCGGAAATACGCCAAGGTGGGAACGAGACCATTGACTACAATGCAATTTATATTTTTGACCGTTTTGTAGAGCGTTCGTCGAGCGTAGAACGCGCTACAAAACAGTCAGGTGTGAACGAGGGCTCACCCTCCTGCTGACTTAGCAGGGATCCACCTATGCCACATTGCACTTGTATTGTCACATTAGAAGGAGCTCCTCAAACATGTAACCCAACTGCGATTCACAAATTAGATTCAAAGTGGATCTTCTAAAGCTGGCCATACAGTGCTTAAATTTCAGCCAAAATTGTGTGTGTAGCCCCGTCAGCAGCACTCTATTTGACAAAAGTTGATTTTTCAAATTCCCATTCACACTTCTGTGTTCAGAACATGTGATGTGCGTGCAGTACCATTACTTGTTATTGGCACCCTAAAAGCATCTGGTAAGACTCCAGGTCTTTGCCTGCGCGTTGAAATGCACATAAACAGGTAGTCAAAAACAATGTGAAGCTCGCAGTTCAAAATGCTGCATTAGCATCTTTGCCGTGCATGCTGCAGCTCAATGGAGTGAATGGACCGACATGCAGCACATACGGACAGAAGCGCTGCAAGTGCATGCCAAGTGTGAGCAGGGTCTGACTGCAGCTAACGTTTGGCTATCCACTAGTTGCGGGCACCGGCCATCAAATTTCAATAGCCTGGCAGGGGGAGATTACCTTCTCCATGCTGTTTAGCGTGGACAGGGGAACCAAGCCTTTTTTTGTTCAGCCCATGGCACTGAACAAGAGAAAAACACCAAGTGTTTAGGCTATGATCATCAGAAAACGAACAGTCATTTTACTGTGTGAGCAGCTAGCTTCAGACCACAGCCCTTCATTCAGGAAGCCATCCAACCCTCCCCCTCAAAAGAAAAAAAAAAGAACAAAAAAAAAGAAAAAAATAAAAAGAAAAAAACTTTAATTCAAAATATCATAAGCGCTTTAAATGCAACATGGAGTTTTTTTCCCTGTAGGAACAAGCCCAAATAAAATTCAACATTTCCATTTTTGTTTCCACAAGGTTTGTATTGCAACCATCTGTGGAGGAAATGCTGTTCAGTTTTTAGTACAACAAAGATCACAGCGGTGCTGGTGCTAAATACAAGGAGAAAAATAATAAGGTATCATCTATCCCTTTCCTTTACTACTGCTCCATCCCCAGTGAGTCAGAATACAGATATTTGTCAGTTACCTAAAGCTCGATCCATATGGCCCTAGAATCCAGGAAAAAATTTAAATAAATAAATAATAGGACTAAATGCAAAGGGAACCTCAACGCAACATACGAGAAGGAAGGAAACCATCGCCGCTAGAGTTGTATGTACCTTCTGAGAAGGACCTCCTGTCATTGTAAAATGAACGGAAGTGTACTATGCTGCAACTGCAATGCATGTGGAAATGACTTTTGCAGACTGCGAAGATTATATTGTTCTATTTTACTACCACACTAGTGTCTTTCCCAGATCTGTTAATCTTCAGTTTTTGCTTAGTCGGTCCCCAAAGTTAGGTTCTTGGTAAACAAAGGAGATTAAAAGCACCAGATTAGAACATCTGTGGGCATCTTTAGGCATTGGAATAATGTGGGAATCACTAAATGAATGAAATATTGCCTGGAGTTTCATGTTGACAATGGCGGAAAATTTGAGCAAGGAGAGGTTGAGTTGCAAATCTGGTTGCTGTAGGTAAGGAGCAGACAGTTAAAAATAGCAATTTGGTTGCTGTAGGTCAGGGGCGGACATGCCTACAGTATGGAATTCAGGAGCCAGCAGGATATTTTTCCATTTACAACAACTAAAGCAAACCTCTAAAATTGGGCGCCGGCTATAATTGGCTACCTGGCTCCTGGGATTTCCCCAGCCTTGCTGTAGGTGTCAATTGATGTTCTACTACAGCAGCTTGAGGGGAATGGGCAAGTGTTTGATTCTTCTTTGTTTTTCCAAACTCCGTCCTGCAGTAATGTTTTTGTAAACTCTGAGAATCAGCAGTAAAGGTAGAAGATACTTCGGACAAACACCCCTGGTATAAATGTACCTAAAGCCAAAATTGCCCCTGCGGCTCTGGATGGAGTGGGGAAGGGTTTGGCAACAGAAGATGGCCAGCACTCCAAGTATAAATCTCCATTAACACACCACTTGTGAGTGCCGACCATCTTCTGTTACTCTGTATGCCTGGCATTACCACAGGCCATGCACCCCTGAAAAATGTATGAGGAATTGGTGCGGGACAGGTTGATAATTAAAAAAGGTTTTTACTGCTACTCTTTACTTGGCCCAGTGACAGAAAATTATTGGCAATCCAAAAGGTTAAAAGTTGTCACAGGAAAAGGAGGCGAGGGAATATCTGCTAATGGGGACACCTGTTTATTAGGGGATTAGCCCATCACTTTACAGAGATATCCACACACTTCCTGTTGTGTCTCTAGGACAGAAATTGAAGGCGAGTCTCCTAAATAGAACACGGCGAAAGGAAATCTGGCACGGGTTCTAACCCTTCCCTCTTCAATTCAAACAATGTGAATATAGACTAAAGTAGGGTATACATCAAGGTTTGTCAACTCCAGCCCCCCGGCTATGTTTTTAACTGCAGATCCCAACATGCCTCTGCGAGTCATGCCTGCAACGATCAGTCTTGCAATACCTCATGGGACTCGTAGTTCCACAACAGATTGAGGGCCTGAGTTGCCCACCCCTGGCATACATGGTTAGAAATCAATTTTGGAACATTCATTTACCTTTCTAACAGTTGATGTGGTTGAAATTGATCATTGATTTCACCATAGCGATGAAAATAGTTGAAGCAGCATGTTGGAAAATTTCTCAGACGAAACGGAATTCTAACAGTGAATGTGGCTTTTGTGCAGGAAACTCCATTCATTCCGAAATTGAAAATAAAATGAAGATCCAACAAAATTCTGAATGACATTTGTCAAGCGTCTGATGGCATTATCAAACGTTCTAAATTGATTTTTTGTACAAAAATCTACCGATGTATACCCTACTTAAGAGGGGATTGCCCTCACAATGGAAAAATATCCTCTCACATCCTGTCGAGCCTACAGGGCAGGAAGTAAAAGGAAAACACCCGCATGAGACAAAGATGAAAGCAGAAGTGGGCCCATTCATCCTTGGGATTGGGGCAGTCTCATGAATTACTCAGTAAGAACAGTTGGAAGCCTGATACCAGGGGTGGGAAAACTCCGGCCTTCAGCTAAGTTTGAAGTGCACCTGTGGCCAAACTACAGGCAGTAGACAATTTGCAGAATAATGAGCTTTAAAAAAAAAACTAAAAAAAAAAAAAACCCATCCCTAACCTGTCTAACTGCTTTTAATATGAAAATATTACAGCAAGGCTGAGCAAACTAGCCCTCCAGCTGTGGCGAAACTACAAACTCCGTCTTTGGGAGTCATGCCTGTGGCTGTGAGAATCCTTCAATGCCTCATGGGATTTGTGGTTCCACAACAGTTGGAGGGCCAGAATTTGCCCACCCCTGGGCTCTCCACACAGCAATGACAGCTGACAGCAGCAGGTTGAATGTAATCGGACAAGCTGTGATCACCTACGGACGAGCGCCCGTGAATGCAGACAGTTTGCATCCAGGGGTGGTAGTGTGAAAGTAATCACTGCTGTACATTTAATCTGTGTACACCTTCAGCAGCTGTACAAATGTAATTATTAGGATGAGATGCTTAGTAGGACCATGTTCAGCAGGCCACCCAGTGTCCTCAGGTTTGAAACTTCTCCCACCACACCACGTATACGCACACCACCCATTCTAGCCCCTCCTTGCCCTATAACGCAATTAAAGAATGTAAGAAAGAGCTCTGATCACACTAGCCAAATCAAAGTTGTACACTTTCCGTATGGGTTTTACTACAACTGGAGCAAACATAATTTGGAGAAGTTGCCCATAGTAACCAATCAGCTTCTCTCTTTTATTTGTTCAGTTCAGCTTTGAAAATGAAAGCTAGAAGCTGATTGGCTGCCATGCACAGTCCGCTCCCAGAGTCTGAATGAGCTCTGCACAGCGAAAGATGCCCGCCGGGCACTTCCACCCATGATGTTCATCTTACCCTGTTTTTGACTTCTGCAGACAGTCCATAGGACGGACCCTTGTTGAACTGAGAGCTCATGCTGCCCTGTTACTGAGGAACGCCTTCCGATGTAGCCGCCGCTGGTCCTGTCCCCAAACTTACTGCCCCGTCTGTCTGTCTCCGCTTCTGTTTGTCTGGGTCAGTTTCCTCTGATTGAGTCAGTGTCTGCGCCCGGGCCCCGCCCACTTCTCCTTCATTGGCTGACAATAAAAATCCCCATATAAGGGCAAAGAGCGCCGAATTCCTCAGGATGGGTACGTCCTGCCAGTCCCAAAATGTGAGCGAATACCCTGTGAGGCTCCGGTGCAGGCCAGGTACGGGGGAGCCACGCCTAGTCTGCAGGTATGGGGGACTGCGAGTCACTGCCCCCACCCAGGCGTGCCTCATGACTACTTCTGAGGTACTGCAAACGACCGCGGGCTGTGTGCTGCACTTTCTACTGCACGGGTCCTGCTGTTCAACACAGTTCCCGTGACCTTAGTAGCAAAAGTCCTAGTTTTTGTAAAATGAAATGGAGTACTGGATGATGAATGCATTGTATATGCAGTGGCGTAACCAGAGTTCTGGGCGCCCGGGGCAGAATTTTTTTTTCGCCAAGCAGTGCCCAGCGGGGATGAAAGAAATCACGGCCGCGCCGGCAAAACGGCAGGAAAATGTCACTTTCGGCATTTAGCCGAAAGTGCCATTTTCGGCCGGCGCCCCCCCCTTCACTTTTCGCCCGGGGCCTGCGCCCCTGCTGCACCCCCGGTTGTTACGCCACTGTGTATATGTGAATATATATATATATATACACATACCTTAGTTATGTGGAACCGAATCACTCTGCCCTTCATACCTCTTCCAGTGCCCCCCTATTTAGCTGTAGACCACTGAGTGGAGTTTAGCAAAACTAGAACTGTTGCCCATGACAACCAATCAGCTTCTTTGATTATCAGATCTTAAAGTGACATTAAAGTCAAAAACATTTTTCCCTCCCCCCAATGTTAATTAAAGCACTTACCTTAAATGATGTCTCTTAATCCGATCTTCCTCTTCTTTCCTGTCCTTTTCAGCCTTCTCTCCAGCGCTGCTGCGGGTTTCCGATCCAGCGCTGACTCCTCTGTCCTTGCTGGCACTTTTGATCCCGCAGTGTCTGCATGCGGGTGCACGCGTCCATAGACTTACCTTCTGTCTCCCCTCGTCTCCCGGACGAAAATCCGAACTGCGCATGCGTCCACCCCAAGATGCTTTGCGGCCACCTGAGCATTTTCGGATGGGAGAGCGCGGAGAAGTCAGGGGTACGTTTAAACCGCTTTTAAAGCGTTTTTTTTTTTACTTTTTGCATATATCTACTGCTTGCTAGCACTAGATATATGAAAAAAACTGGAGGGTATAGAAACCCTTTAACTAAATAAATTGAAAAGAGAAGCTGATTGATGACTATGGGCAGTTTTGATCAACCCCCTGTGTTTAACTTCCAAAGTTATTGAAAATAAATATTTTTGGATAAAGTAGGGAAGGGGCAAATCCACTATGTACCATTAGAAGAATTCCCAGTCACTTCCTGTTCAGAGACGCAACAGGAAGTGACAGGATGTCTTCCAAAGTGAGGGAATTCTGCTACTAGCCATTGTCCCTGATAGAGACAATGGGGGGGAATTCATGAAAACCGTTTTCTTTTTTAGCTCCATGGTGCGTGCATTGTAAAACAAACCCTTGTCAACAAAAAAAGTAAACTGAAATCGCGAGCACACAAAAAAAGTGCATTGGTCCTCTTCTGAAAAAGAGGGTCACAACATCCCTGGACCCCCCGGGGCACAGGGGCAATGCACCCTAGTTCACCTAGCTGTTAAAGTGACATTAAGGGCCTGTTCACATGAGATCAGGTCCTGATCAGCAGACGTGGAATGGGTGTAATATCCAGCCTGGTATTGGCTATTGCAATTTGAAATGACCAATAGCAGGCAGGCTATTGCACCAGCCCACCAGCTGCTGTATTTACGGTCTGCGGAATCTTGCCACTGGCAGCCGTCATTCCCTGACGCTTTTTATGCGCCGCGTACTTACAATACAATTATTACCAAAAAAAATGATAAAAGGTGGGAAAAAAGTTATTTTTTGTTTCAGCCTGATAAATTCTGCTGCAGGAGGTGCATTCATTTCAATGGCACCCCAAACGTGCCTCCCAACTACAATGTGATCGCCCGCACTGGAACACACGGTGCCGCAATGCTGGAAATATTGGGAAAAAATGTGCATGCAGTTTTATTCTGAAGTAAACTTTGTTTGTAACACTGCATTTGTGTTTTTTATTTTAAATTAATTTAAATTTTATTTAAAATGTATTTTAAATTATTCTAAAAATAATCTATATGTGCATATAAGGGACGATATCACGTCAAATAATGGGGAAGACGTGGAAACTCTATGGCTGGAGCTAGATATGACGGACAGCGAACTACGGCATTAATAAACTCCTACAGGAGGGCACTTTGGCTCAAAACTTGGTCAGGAGATGCAGCCTCCAAGGCGAAGTTATGCGGGTGACCTTTCAAAGGTGACTTGCTTTTTGGCCATGAGTTGGAGGCGGTGTTGGATCGATCCGCGGACAAGAAGAAAGGTTTTCTGCTGCCATCCAAGCAGCAGGGGAAAAAGTTTTTTCGTGGCCAAAGGGGGCAAAACTTCCGCAAGGAGAAAAGGGGATTTTATGGGGAAAAAGCAAGACCAATCCAAAGGGTGGGCTTTTAAAAAGGGGAAGTCTGAGAGCAATTTCCTCTTTAACCCCCCTCAGCAGCCCAATAAATCCCAATGACCGATTGCTCAGGGTGGGAGGAAGACTGGGAGAATTATTCCCGCTCTGGAGGGAGCTGACCGGCAACATTTTTTATTTTGGAGCTGGTTCAGATCGGTTACAAAATAGAACTAACGGAACGGCCCCCTTCCAGGCTTCTGATTACTTCCCTGTCCAAGGACCGGAAGAAAGCAGAGGCAATGACAGCGGCTCTGCAAGATCTGTTGGACCAGGGGGTCATTGTGCGAGTACCGGTTTTAGAGGAGAAGAGGGGTTTTTACTCCCACATCTTTTCCAGGATGAAGCCCTCGGGAAAGTGCAGACTGATACTAAATCTGCAGCCTCTGAACAGGGTGGTACTGTACAAAAAGTTCCGTATGGAATCGATCTTTTCAATACGAGAGTTGCTGCCCCCAGGATCCTTTTTAGCGACTATAGATCTGAGAGATGCTTATTTTCACATTGCAGTAAGACAGTCGTCACAATACCTACTGAGGTTTGCTGTCCGGGGACCAGCGGGGGTCCTGCATTTCCAATACAGGGCCTTGCCGTTCGGCCTTTCCTCTTCGCCTCGAATCTTTACCAAAGTTTTGGCAGAGACTCTGGCCCTCTAAGATCACGGGGGGTAGGGGTCATTCCATACTTGTACGACCTTTTGTTTTTCATCCGTCAGAGGTTGTGCTCCAACAAAAGCTGGAGCTGGTGATACAGCACCTAGAGAGTCTGGGTTGGTTGGTGAACAAGGAAAAGTCACAACTGGTCCCTGCACAGACGGTAAGGTTTTTGGGGTATTGGATTAATACCCAGGATATGACCATTGCATTACCAGGGGAAAAAGTGTCTTTGCTGGTAGAGGAGACACTAAGACTGAAGTTGCAGTGCGACATAACCGTCAGATCAGTGATGAGAGTGGTGGGACTTATGACATCCGCCATCCCAGCAGTTACCTGGGCGCAATTCTATTCAAGGGCGCTACAGAACTGGCTATTGAGGATCTGGGGGGGTCAGATAGAAGACTTAGTCAAAGTAGTCCACCTCACGGAGGTGATCAAGCAATCCCTGCTGTGGTGGATGGACTGTCGGAACCTCTCAGTAGGCAGGCTGTGGTGCCAGCCAGCACCGTTGGTAGTCACGACAGATGCCAGTGCCTGGGGATGGGGAGCGCACTGCCTGGAGCACATTTGGCAGGATGCCTGGGAGCACTCGGGCAGAATCAAGTCATCAAACTGGAGAGAGCTAAAGGCGATAGGGCTGGCTCTCTGCCAGTTTCGGGATACTTTAGCGTACCACCATGTACAGGTGGCCTCAGACAATGCAGCAGCGGTAGCTTATATAAACAAGCAGGGGGGCACGCGGTCGCAGGCCTAATGGCACTGGCGACGGAAATCCTGTCATGGGCAGAACGCAACCTCCTCTCCGTGACGGCGAGACATATCAAAGGCAGCCTGAACGAGCTGGCAGACTCGCTCAGCCGAACGGAGCTTCACAGGTCCGAATGGGCTCTGAACACGAGGATCGCCAGCTTGTGGGGCTGTCCGGAGGCAGACCTCTTCGCAGCTGCCAACAACAGGCAGGTGGAAAAAATGTTTTCCCTCTCCAGGAACGAGGGGGCTCTGGGGGTAGACGCTTTAGCGCACCCCTGGAGGTTCCGTTTAGGTTACGCATTTCCTCCGCTGCAGTTAATTCCGAATGTACTTCGGAAACTCAGGGGGGAACGGATGACTTTAATTCTCATAGCGCCATACTGGCGGAAGAGGCCGTGGTTCACGACACTCCTAGAACTGTGTATGGAGGGGCCTTTGCTTCTTCTGCCAACGGCAGACTTTCTGGTACAGGGCACGGTGAGACACCCGCAAGTCCAAGCTTTACATTTGGCTGCATGGCTTCTGAGAGGGAGGTGCGGATGAACAATGGGTTATCCGCAAAGGTAGTGTCCACGCTGATGCACAGTAGGAAACCGGTCACATCAGCGATTTACTTGAAAGTATGGAGAGTTTTTTCAAGCTGGTACAACAGGCAAGGTAGCCCAGCGGTCGACACAGTGCCGTTGGTGTTAGATTTTCTACAGGGGGGTCTGGAGAAAGGGCTTTCCTGTAGTACTCTGATAGTGCAGGTTTCGACTCTGTCTAATTTTGTGGACATTAGACTGGCGGAAGAACCTCTCATAAGGATGAAACCCCCAAAGGGTAAGGTCGTGCCAAATTGGGATCTCTCGGTGGTATTACAAGGGTTTCTCAAGCAGCCTTTCAAGCCCCTGGGGGAGCGTTCTATACAGCATCTGACGATGAAGACAGCCCTCTTGGTAGCATTAGTTTCTGCTCGGAGGTGGTGTCCACTTTCCACAGGACTCAGGAAGTGGTCATCCCTTCGTTTGCAGCTAACCCTACCTCTGCTAGAGAAAAGGAATGGCAGGGTATTGACGTACGAAGGTGCGTCTTGGAGTACCTTAGGGTCATGAAACCTTGGAGACAGTCGACCCGCCTCTTTGTGGTCTTTGGGGGTCCCACTAGAGGGAACAGGGCCAGTAAAAGCACAATAGCTAGGTGGATTAAAATGGCCATAACTG